GCTACTAGTAACAAGTGCATCGCTACTAGTAACAAGTGCCTTACTAGAAGTAACAAGAAGCTATTAGAAACAATTGTTTCTATTTAATTGTAAGGGCTTCGCCCTGGTGCCGCCGACCCCCTTGCTGCCTGCTGACGTCACCTGGCACGTTGCCTTTGGGAGCCCATAAAACAGTTGCCTGGCATTGCCAGAGGCTCACTCCCAAGGCTCCGCCAATCTGTGTCGCCACAGCTTTCAGGGGGGTGCACGCGTGCAGCAAACCAGCGGGTTTCGCAGTGAGGGCTCTAGTTGCCTGGCATTGCCAGAGGCTCACTCCCAAGGCTTCGGCTCAAAAAAGCCAACAGCCCACGGGGTGGCGGCTCGGCCAGGACATGAACCGCCCACGGCTTGGTGGTAGTGCCAGGACATGAAAGCAGAGGTAGAGGATGCCAATGCCAATGTTGCACCCTGCGGTGTCTCGGGCGCCTCCCCGCCTAGGCGTTGGCTAGGCCGGGGTCGGCGGATTTTTGTTTCTAGCAAACATTGTTACTACTAGTAAGGCACTTGTTACTAGAAGCGAGGCACTTGTTCCTAGTAGCCTCTGGTTTCCAAAGGCCCAAGACGAAAAAAGGTGTCCAAAGGCCCAAGCACTTTCCTTGAGAGGCTCTGTGTCTTTGAGGCTTCTCGCCTTCAAGCTATGCCTGCCCCGACTTCTTCACTCAGGCCCTTCCAGGGCTGTAGGCAAAGACAAGAGAAGAAATTTGCAGAGCAGAAGCAGATTACGAGATTGTACTTCATTGTTCAATCCTCACTCTATATACTGGCTCAGGAGGAGCTGGATGAGGTAGCTACCTTCAGCGATGCCCTGCGGGTGCCGAATGCATGTGAAACAGATGCGACACACTCCAGAGGTTTGTGTACAGACGTGGGTGAAAGCCTAGACCTTTCTTTGGGGTATGAACCTTTTTGGGAGCTACATTCTTTTTTGGAAGGAAGAATGTGTCAAAACAAAGGAAGGACAACGCGATGAAAGAAGGGAAAGCGTAAGGCACCCCTTTTCTTCCGTTCTTTGTTCTTCCTTGGAGGCCATTGCCATTAGGTTGGAGGCCATCGCTAGTAGGTTATATTTTTGTTTACTTCTAGTAGAAAGAGTCACTAGCGCTTCTTAAGCTGGTTCTAAGTTTGAGTCTTGGTGTTCGTGGCTTGTAGCTTGGATTGACGTCAGGTCACGAAGCAAAAGTGCGAGACGTCGCATTTAGTTGATCCGGACAATTGCAAGGCACAGATACGGATATCAAAGATGTGGGTTTGACTGAGCTGGAATCGAGCAGGACAGTGTTTTATAAGAGCCTACCTTTATTTGGGTCCAATACTGTCCAGTATCTTGGTGGCTTCTCTGTGAATTTGACAAGCCCATTTTTTCGCAGTTGTTTCAAAGGTTTGGGCAGAGATGATGTTTGCCTTCTCACCAACCATGGTCTTTATGCCGGTGTGAAGCTTACTCAAGAACAACGGAGAATATTCCAAGCGAGATGTCCACAACTAATTGTTGCAAAGCTTTCCAAGCTCGAGTTTTTCTAATATGCTGAGAAACGCTCCATGTTGTGTCGATGTTTGCCCCCTTGAGCACGAGGAAAGTTGCTTTTGCGATGAACTCGTAGATGATTGGGCCAAGCAAGGGCGCCCAAAAAAGAGATGTCAGCATGGCAATATTTGAGCGTGGTGTGGGGGTCATCGCCAGTAGGTTGGAGGCCATCGCTAGTAGGTTGGATGTCATCGCTAGTAGGCTGCAGACCATCGCTAGTAGGTTGGATGTCATCGCCAGTAGGTTGAAGGCCATCGCTAGTAGGTTGGATGTCATCGCTAGTAGGTTGGATGTCATCGCTAGTAGGTTGCAGACCATCG